AAATAAAAATAAGATTTTTCAATAAAGAAAAACTTTTGTTTTTAATTAAAATAAAAAATGAAAATAGGTAATTAATTGTTGAATTAAATAGTAGATGAGTGGAGGGTTTGGCACCATTGCTTTTGGTGTCTAAAAGCTTCTAATCATTCAACCAAAAAACAAAAGCAAGGATAAAAGGTCTGGTGGTTGATCGTACGGTTTCTGTTAGTTTATAATAAATGGTATTCAAAATTTCGAATGTATTATTATAATAAAAATGATTGTTTGTTTTTTGAAAAAAAGCTCTTAATACCTCTTTAGTCTGAATCGGTAAGACGTTTTTTTTTTAAATAAGAGTTGAAAAGCTCTTATAGTCATCTGAATTTTTAAGTGGTAGTCTAAAACCTTAATGGGCTCTTATTCACACATGAGGACACCATCTCGATTTCTCCCTCTCTCGTTTGATCTACAACTATCAAATCACACCGATCTATCCACATCATACGATTTGGACATCGTATCGTTCTCTCGCTCGGTCTCGAGCTGTCGATCTATCCAAATCAATCTCTCCAAAACGTTCTCTGCAAATAGATCTCTCTTATATATGAGTTATTTTGTGAGTATAATCAAAACAACGAGCAAGGGGATGATGGTGACACAGTTAATGCAAAATGAATATTGGTTCTAGTCGTTATGAGACTTTGTTCATGTTTATATTGATTCAGATTTCAGACTTCAGATGTAAAAACAAGCAGTCCGACTGATTCAGATTTTAGAGTTCAGCACCACCTCTTATAAATCAGAAGTGAAATCAGAAGTGAAATCAGACTTCAGACTTCAACATCTCTTAAAAAACAAACACCACATAAAAGTGTTTAATTGTCCTAAAAGTAAATTGTCATATCATCCATGTTGATGTGTTCCAATTGGCTTATCTCTGAGTCCACTACACTTTAACACTTTGTCAGATGACTAACCTATCGAGAATTAATTAATTTGAAAAACATAGATAACAGAGCTTTTTGTTAACAACTTTTATTTCAAGTCTATTTCCTATGTCATTCAAGTTGACGTGCAATCAAGTAGCTTATCGACTTTTGTTGTCGCTAAAATTCAATTTATCGTCACAAACAGCTTATAGAGACGACATGTCGTAGCAATAGTTTCTTGCTGAAAACACATCGTCACTATAGGTGTGTTGCTAAAATGAAATATATAGGGGAACCTCATTATTGCAAAACAATGTCCATCTTTTTTTGGTTTAAAATCTTACCGTTTATCTCACATCCAATATATGAAATTTAGCTACTCATATTTGAAATAAATTGCATAATTAGTGTTATAACATTGGTGGAAACAATGCACATCAGTTAGTACGTAACTATAACCAATTCGGATATTTGTTCAAATGAGAAGACTATCATGTGTAATAATACACATGATGAACACTGCACTGTGCGGGCAATTTGACTCGCGACCTAGGTCACATCAAAAGGTCACTTATTCTCTTATTTAATCACATGTGATATAGGTTCTCTTACATTTTCATAAAATAATGGTGTGTGTGTGTGTGTATATATATATATATATATATATATATAGGCAAGAGATCAAACGAGAACACGTTTATTTTATGAAAATGCGAGAACATCTTTTTTACAATAGTCAATTACATTTTATGGTAAATCAGAGACACATACGACCTTTAACACGACAACACACCACTAGGTCTTTTCACATATATTATAATATGTAATAAGAGTGTTTTTATATTTTCGTAAAATGAAGTGTTCTCGTTTGAACCTCCACCTATAAGGGTTCAAACGAGAACACTTATGTTCTATAAAAATGCGAGAACAATTATGGGCCTTCAAATGAAAGTTTTAAAAGTATGTTTTTCTTAAAATATGAATCAACTTAAAGTACGTTACCTTTTTATGCAATTTGTCCAACAAAAGAATTTGCCTATATATATGTGTGTATATATATATATATATATATATATATAAACACACACACACATATATATTTTATATATATAGGGGAGAGATTTTGCAAACCAAACTATCTGTACAAACTGTGAAAACCGTCGATTTCATTGTTTATTTTAGTGAAAAAAATTCACCAAATTGTTTAATATGATTAAATTGTTTCAAATAATTCATTTCATGATGAAAATCTTTCATATATTAATGTTTCTATGTAAAAATTAAATTGTTTCATTTATTTCTCATTTTGGTGAAACTTGTTCACTAAAATTAATAGAATGAAGATGATAATGTCCATAATTATTTGAAAAGAATTGTTTGAAACAATTTCATCATGTTAAACAAGTTCATTAAAAAAATTCACTAAAATAAACAATGAAATCGACGGTTTTTACGCTTTGTACAAATGGTTTAATTTGCAAAATATCCCTCCCATATATATATATATATATATATATATATGTTGGCTTATGATGAGAATGAGAGTTAAGGTGAGAATCGTAAGAAATAATCTCCACCCTTGGATGCAGATTAAGATGAGATGCATCGAGATGTATCGGATCAATCCCCGTATCAAGCGTGCTTCATGGGTGGGTTTGAGATTAAAGGTGTTCAAGGGTCCAGATCTCTTCTTACGCTTCTCACCTTAACTCTCTTTCTCACATAATCCTTAGAATTGTGTGAGAAAAATAATTAAGGTGATAATCGTAAGAAAGAATCTCCACCTTTGAATGCACATTAGGATAAGATGCATCGAGATGCACTGAATTTATCTTCGTATCAATGGCGATTTATGAGTGGGTTTGAGATTAAAAATGATCAAGGGTTCAGATCTCTTCTTACAATTTTCACCTTAACTCTCCTTCTCACACAATCTTTTGTGTGTGTGTGTGTGTGTGTGTATATATATATATATATATGCATATATAGGGTTGGATTACGATGAGAATGAAAGTTAAGATGAGAAGCGTAAGAATGTATCTCCATCTTGGATGCACATTAGGATGAGATACATTTGATCAATCTCCATATCAAGCACGATTGTTGTGTAGGTTTAAAATTAAAGATGATCAAATGTTCAGATCACTTCTTACGCTCCTTACCTTTAACTCGTATTATTACACTATCTTTTGCATATATATATATATATATATANTTAAAGATGATCAAATGTTCAGATCACTTCTTACGCTCCTTACCTTTAACTCGTATTATTACACTATCTTTTGCATATATATATATATATATATATATATATACACACACACACACATATATATAGACTTGGGATCATGTGAGACCCAAGGTTTTTCGTGAGACCTGTAAGACCAATTCTCAACCTTGGATTAGATTTACAACCTAACAATCTGAACATTCATAAATGCCACGAGACTTCTCAATAATCACAAAATTGTCACCGTGCGATTTTAAATCATTAGATTATTAGCTTATAAGGTTGATCAATGAACATAAATTGGTCTTACGGGTCTCACAAAAAAACTTTGGTCTCATGTGAACCCAATCACACACACACACACACACACATATATATATATATATACACACACACACACATATATATAGGGACTGGTTCAAATGCTAACCAAGATTATCGTGTTAACTTTGTTAACCGATCTTGACCATTAATTTGAATAATAAACAGTTGTGATTTAATGATATTTAAAAATTTAATTATTAAATTAATATTTTCAATTAACATATGTGAACAAAATATCAAATGGTATTTAGGTAAAAAGTAATCTATCTTTAATACTCGAGTTGTCAGACATATGAACAACTTGTGTATATCTTCAAAACCATATCAAACAAAAAAGATTAGACATATGAACAACATGTGAACCGTATGAACATCTTCTGTATATTCGGAAGCCAACTCTGTTGTATGTACATGAACACCTATGAACCAAGGCATCTAGGGCTGTGTGTTTTCATACGTGTTCACATGTTTTGTGTGTGTGTGTATGTATTCATATGAACATCTAGTGACTTGAATATACATGAACACTTATGAATCACGGCATCTAAGACTGTGTGATCTCTGATGTGTTTATATGTCAAATGTGAGAACTGTCTATTAAAATAAATGTGAATTATAAAACATGAACACGTATGAAACCCCAATGTCAATATTATTGCATCATGATCAATTGTGATATTTTCAGATTTATAACTCCCAATTAATTATTTGGGAGTTACATAAAATGACAAATTACTTAAATATCATTGTATTTAATATATGAGTTACATTTGAATCAAAGGAAAAGATGGAATATGATTGATTGAGTTTGGTTAACAT